TTTATGAAACATAAGAGTCTCTCTCATGAAGACCTGAATACTTTTCCTATTGAGATCTCACCTCTACTTCTGAGATGGCTAGTTTAGTTTCCATGTTACCTACTACTGTTGAATAATGTGATTTTTAATAGTGAAGATTTTTTCAGCCCTTAAACTCAATTTTTCCTTTGATGATCATCCATATTCAGTAGGAAAACAGGATAGATCCAATTTTGGAACAGTACCATTGTTGCTATATAAGCAAAATAGTTGGGACTGTTTTATTGCCTGTGGCTGTAATAATACTTAAATTCATTCCTCCACTCATGTCTGGCTGCCTCAGATTATCATCCACACTTGTTGTCTAATGCCTTCCCACCCTTTTCTGTTCAGGTTTCCTCTAGGAACTTCAAGGAGCATAGAATAACTAGATCTTGCCATGGCTTTCTACAAATGAACCATAATTAGCATTGTCAAGAAGCCCTACTATGTGCTTTTAGAAACTACATATGACTTTCTACCAGATGCTTTCCTTCTACATGATCATCCCAAAAGCTAGTTGACAAGGTTATTGATTGTTTCCCCTTGACGGTACCAATAAAACTTGTTATTTTTCATCTGTAGTTTCTGTAATCTGATTTCAAAACCTTTCTTTTGGGCTCCTAAAATTTCTTGCCCATATGAACTTTTGCCACATACTGTCTCCATGATGGGAGATGAAAACATTGAGAAGGGAATTATAGTTTGGATGCCTAGTGCAAGAGACGCAGAAGAAAATATCTAATTTAATTGAAAAGGTTATCCAAACATAGAAAGATTGTAGAAGTCAGCTAACGATGCTCATGTTTCCAATCTATTACAACAGGTTCCTTTGCAATAGCTGCACAAGCTCAGCCTGAATCTACTGATTCTTTGGAACCTGAAGTAAAGGGATTCTGATTTGGGGAACAAGGCAACTGGTAGGGTTACTACCAACAGAGAGATATAGCACCCTATGCCCAAAGCTGTGGGAGGAGCTTTGAAAAATGAGAGATAAATGAAGAAGATGCAACATTAAAGTTCTTGCTGGTTGTTTGTTCTTAGGGGGACAGAGACAATTCTCCTCTGCATATCCCCTACCCATCCCTAAAGGGAAACTGTGGAATGGAAAGAGTTGCTGAATAAAATGTAAGTGTTAAAAGTTCTCTCAGAATCTTCTGCCTACTTTCTGTAGGAGATAGAAATTACTTTTGCCCAAACAAATTTCCTTGTTAGTTGTGGAAGATTTGTCCAATAAAATAATAGATGGAGATTGAGGAATATTTCGAATGTAGAAAATCATTATTGTACTTGGAAAGAATTTGTTTGGAATAGGGTGTTCCTTCTTAAACACCTTAAAAATAATAGAGGAACATTGAGGGGCATTTCTAATATGGAAGATTAAATTAAACCAATTTAGGATTGAGCAGAGATTAAAATATTTGAGATACCTATATTTTCCCAAAATCAGTTTGCAAGAGATGAGCGGGAAAAAATAGCTGACTTGATATTGGCATCTTCATTATCAATATATTTAGGAAGGAATGGGTGAAGTGATTGTAGATATGCCATTCTTTGCATGATGAATTTATCTGGAGGGTGCAGCGTCTAAAAAAGAATATGTGGATCTAAATATATTCAGGGCATGTAATTCTATTGGAACTTTTCTTCGGAAAGTTTTTAATACCAATTCTATTTCTTCATAACAAAACAAAATATATAATGTTAGAGGAGCAAATGACATCTTCTTCCTTGTAATTACAATTCAGACAAAAAAACAAAAGTTAATTCTTTGTGCTAACAACAAAAGTTACAGTTGTGGAAGTGAAATGCGACATAGGACCTTATATTTGTCCTTAATATTAGAAATTATTTTTATAATTATGAGAACTTTCATATTCTTCTAGAATGGGAAGAATTTGTGGCTCAGAATCTGTGTAGTTTGCGGGAAGTTTGCAATTTGCAAGCCAAGCCACCAAGAAATTTCTAATCCCGATCACAACAGGCTATACAAGCAGAATAGCAGGGATTAGTGTTGATGGTCTCCACCCCTCTCTTCAGTCCTATTGACATACCTTGATGCTAATTTAGACCTGTGCAGCCACTGGAAGGATGTTGCATACCTTCTTCTGAAAGACCTATGTGTCTGTTTTGAGCAAGGGAGAAAGAGAAAAAGCAAGACAGAAATCTTAAAAACTGAATTGCCCACTTCAATGATTTCCAAGCTGCTATTATGTTTCTAACCACGGTAATTGGCTTTACCATTTATTAATGGCTTATGCTAAAGAGACAAAAAGAGACAAAATTCAGGATTTTTTTTTAGTTCCATTGAGTACAAGACTGCTTGCTGACTTGGGGGATCAATTGATGTGCCGCCCTATATTTAAGAGCTTGCAGATGTTCTGAAGACTTATCTTAGCCCATGAGGTGTGGAATGAAATCTTGTGTTTAGACATTTTGGTGAAAAGAATATGCTGCTAGCTGATGCATAAAAAGCAGCTCAGGTTCTTGGCATTCTCAATGTAGATCATAATGAAGCAAAATCCAAAATGTTAATATGTTTATGTCCTCAAAATGTGATGGAGAACTTATAAATTCTAGAAATATACTTGCCTTTCAAGAATATGTATATCCAGTACATCTAAGCACAACAACTTAGGGATAGGTGGTTTAATGTGTGAACTGATTACATTTTATCAGAATTTCTAGACCTAACAAATATTTTGAATGGGAATTCTTTGACTTTACCTCTTAGATAGATAGTTATGAATATAAGTTTTAACTTCTTTAACTACATTACATAGCCCAGTAAAATGGGGGGTCAGTTCTGATCCATATAGTACTACATAATGTAGATACTTTTTATTCTAGAGAGAAGGGCACATATAAAGATCAGTATTTAAAGAACAAACCTATAAAATTCCATCCAAGTTATGCTTTGAGAAAGAACCGATATAAAATGTTTTACTGATGATATAAAAGTCTTATCAATAATGGCCAAAATAGATAAATCATGCAGCAGTAAATGTTGGAAGCTTCACAAAAGAAAATAAGAAATTCTTAAGAAGAAATATTCTATCATAATGTGGTGGATAAGTACCCCCCCCCAAAAAAAAAGTATTGGAAAAATATCGACGCAGATAATTTTAGGAATCAAATTGCAAATGAAACCTCTTTTTACAAAGAAATTAGGCATAATTCATGAATGAGAGCCTGTTGGATTAAGGCATTAGGCTAGAAACCTGGATGCAGTGAGTTCTAATGCTGCCATAATCACAAGGTAAGATCACTTTGGGTCAATCACTTTTTATCAGCTTTTTATCACTTTTTTATAGGAAGTTGGCAACTGGCATGTATTTATGATGGTTGCAATGTCTTAGGGTCATGTGATCACTTTTTGCAACCTTCTAACTAGCAGAGTCAGTGGGGAAGCTAGATAACAACAGTGTTACTAACTTCACAATGTCAGTGATTTACTTAACAACTGTGGTAAGAAAGGTTGTAAAATGAGGCAAAACTCACTTAACAACTTTCTTACTAAGCATCAAAAATTTTGGTAGGGGTACCAAAATAATAGGGGTATTTTTACATTTTTCTTCTTTTTGGACATTTATAAACAATAATAGTGGACCTGTTGACATTAAAATTTATACTTTTTATATAATAAAAAAATCGGTATATTCTGCATGAAACTTGTACTAATGTTATCAGTAACAATTGTGCAATCCCAGTCAAGACCTGTTCATTCACAAACATTTCTTGAAAATGGATCTTTGTTTTAAATGTTATAAATACCATAAACATTTTTTTAAAAATAGAATATAAGGATTATTAGAGTAACAACAATAATTATACGTGTAGTTAATGTACTTCTTAAAAGTCAGAAATGTTATAGTTTTATATACAGTATGTATATGTATGTGTGTGTGTGAATATATACTGTATATACATACATGCATACATACTCTTTAAAGTTGTTAAAGTTTTCTTAATAGGAAAAGGAAAAATATAATGATATTAATAGATTATATTTAGAGAGATTAAACAAAGTGCAACTTTGCATTTAATCTTTCCAACCCAGCTGTATTCCTATGTAATTCACTCTATCAGTACCAATTTTGTTTGTTCTACCTATCTACCTACTTACCCATTATCTATCTATCTATCTATCTATCTATCTATCNATCTATCTATCTATCTATCTATCTATCTATCTATCTATCTATCTATCTATCTATCTATCTATCTATCTATCTATCTATCTATCTATCTTATCTTCTATCGCACATCTTCCTCAGTGAAGGACTATGGCTGGTATACAAACAAAAATGTTAAAGCATAAAAACTGAATATAAGACATTTAAAATAAAGGCAAGGATTGCTAAAATTCATTATTAAATATAAATTAAAAGGGGGAGGGCCTTCAGGACCCTAACCAACCCTATAGCTGTGTGCTCCTTTTTTAGCCCCAAGTGGCATGAAAGAGCCAATTCTTTAGATATTTCTAAAAGGCCAGGAGACATGAAGTCCCCCTTGCCTCTTGGGGGAGAATGTCCCAAATGGACCAATGTTACAGATATTAAGATGATTCATCTTGAAATAGTTTACTGACAGATGCTTCCCTTGTTTTAGGAAATGGATGTCATACAATCATTATGACACAGTTATGATTTTGTGTTCTGTGTGTCAGAATTGGTATTAAAATAACAATTTCCCATATTCCTTATTCCAGTTCTCCCTAATCATCTGCCCTCCAGTGATATTGGACTTTAATCCAATAAACTCAGCTAGCATGGAGGATTATACAAATTGGAGATGGTTGTCCTACTTAAATGACTTGACATGGACCTCTTGAGATTTGTACTATTCTTTCTTTGTTAAATTGTCAGGCATGGAAACTCTTATGTATTGCAATTCACAAGTCTTTGGCATATTCATTTACTTATAGAATAGATATTTAATAGTGATACAAATCTAATATTCCTTGTTTTTTTCTTTAATAGTTCATTTGTGACTGGAACAGCATGCTGTGGACATAATTCACCTTTGAGAGTCTGGGACTTAGGGAGGTAAGAATGGCATGAATAGGAACTAATGAAATCATTTAGTTCTTCTAAATAGGAGAACTAGGAGCCCTGGTGGCGCAGTGGTTAAAATGCAGTATTGCAAGCAAATTCTGCCCACAGCCTGGAGTTTGATCTTGACGGCTCAAGATTAATACAGCCTTCCTTCCATCCTAATATAATATACTAACTATGCTTTGTATCTAATTTCCCTAGTTATTGGCTCTGCAAGGTCTTCTTTTGTCTATTCTGCTATTTTGCTAACAGTTGGCTTGTCTTCCGTTTCTTTTCTGTCAAACAGTTCAATTATTAGTATAAATTTAATAGCCATAATCCATTTTTTTGGCATTATTAAATCTACATATATCAAGAAGTGACTAAATTTGGTTATTGCTATCATATTTGGTAGCTTATTGTGAATTCTTTTGCCATTTAAATATAAGGAATAAATATATGACATGGTTTAAGATTTCTCACTCCCCGAGACACAAGTGCAACGATTCCCAGAAAAACGTTTTTGCAGAGCAGAATGCTTATAAAATTGATTATAATTCTGTGCTACAGAATAATATTATGGTTTCTTTACATTTAAGAAGGCTTAATCTAAATATTGCATTTAGACGATGTATGGGATGATGATGTTCAGTTTACTTCATATATCCAGTCTCCTTGCCCATGAACTTTTTCTGGGTTGCTGCACATAAAAATAACAACTCTTATAAGGCAAATAGGGAGTGGCTATGTCACCTTTTCTGCCTTTCCCAAGGAAGCTTCCACAGATAATAAAGCTATGTAGAAAATAGGATTAAGGTAATGAACAGGCAGGATGAAGTTTGATCTTTCAATAAGGCAAAAGCCTGACTGACAGGCAAAGCTAAAGCCTGGGAGTCTAACCAATGAGATTCTTCTTACAGTGGGTGCAAATTCATGGATCCCTCCCTTTTCAGTTGTTGTAGTGGAATGCAGTATACCACTGGGCAGCCCCTCTTGGGCCTCTCAAATGGGGAGGAGTGGACATTGCATAATTTAGATACAATCTATAGTTGGTCAAGCATTCTCACATGAGGAATGGTTGCTGGTGAAAACTGGGCCTTTACACAGAAAAATGATCCTTTTGCGCTTTTTAAATTTGTTACTACATTACTTTTTATTTGTAGATGCTTCTTTGGGGAGGACCATTGATCTTACGTTACAAAACTATGTCCATCTCCATCTCTATTGTTATGAGTAGTTTCAAGCATTCAATATAATGCAACATTCACTACTTTATTTGTGGGGTGATTTAAAGCATTGAATATTATTTCTTTCGAGCAGTTCTGCTTCTGAGTGATAGTACCTCCTTATTTTTCATCGTTATTCAAAAAGGATGTGGCTTTTTAGATTTTTGTAAAAATCCCATCTTTATTACTTTATAATTAATTCAAGGTGGCAACATACCTTCCATCTCCTCCTCCTATTTTCTCCAGAAGAAGAACCCTGTGAGGCAGGTTGGGCTGAGAGAGTGACTAGCTTAAAGTCATCCAGCCAGCATTGATGCCTAAGGCAGGACTAGAACTCAGCGTCTCCTAGTTTCTAGGCCACTACATCACTACATCAAATTGGTTCAATTTGCCAGTATGCTATCAGATTTTTTGTTTATTTTTCTTCTATTTCTGTAACCCTCAACAATGTCTTAACTTGTTTCTCCTTGATTTATGCCAGGTACGGATGTATGTATTTTCCACATTTTTATACCACTCCCTTGTTAAACACATTGTAGTGTTCCAAAATACCATCAATAACAATAAAATCCTTAATATCCTTCTCACAAAATCTGCATAAAATCCATTAATTCATAAAACTTAGGTGCCCCAAGTTAATAATTCAATCAAAAAACAAGTCAATGGATCATAAAATAAATCAATACAGAGTACTCATTCAAAGCACAAAGACCAGTCTTGGATTATCATATTTTAACACGTTATGAGAAAACCTAGTAGAAGTCTGTAATATTAGGAAAGATGGAAGAAAAAAAAGGAAGACCAGCAGCAAGGAGGATGGACTCTGTTACTATGGCATTACTGAACAGATCAGTTAAAGGCTCAGATTGAAGATTGGATTGGAAAATTGACTGAATTTGCAGAAATTATGAAACTGACAAGTTTGGTCAGAGAAAAAGTGATACTTTTCTGAAAGACTGAACATCTTATATGGACTTTTTATTGAAAGAAGAAGAAATTGAATCGATAATCTCAGGATTTGCAGATGAAGAAGAGATTAGGGAAAATTTAAGATGATACTCGATAGAAGGGTAGAAGGCATAGTTCTGTTCTACTTTTTCTTATTTCTTTCTTTCTAGTTCTTATTTTATATTTTTGTTTTTGTTCATTCTGTATATTTTTACATTGAAAAAATTAAATATAAAGGATCAAACTGGAGACAGAGTGTCCTGGAGAATATCTTATCTGTGTGGTAGCTGAAAGTCAGCATCAACTTGATGGCACATTATCATTGTTAATGACTAGATAAAAGTCTGTTTTAAATGTATAGTTTTCATAGCCTTACAAAAATTCAGAAATATAAGGCCCTGGTGTGTGTCAAGGCACAGTGTATTCTAGACTAAGGATTACCACTGAGAAAAACAGGATCCTAGTATATGTATCTCTTATAGGGGCAAAATCTTGGGTCACTTTTTCTGAATGTTCATATAGGGTGGGCAGAATTATATAGCATAAGATGGACTGAGGTACTCTTCAACTGCACCATGTGTCATCTTCAAACACAGCTCCATTAAGAGTGCATGATAATAATTTAGTTACATGGTAATAAGGGCATAGGTTATCATGCTCCAATAACAGCAAAGGCTCCCCTAGCTACAACTTTCATCTCCTATTTAAGCAAGAGCCATGAGTCACAAGTGAAGGACACCTGCTGTCAGGAGAGTAGAAGCTCAGCTAGAGCAACCACCAGAAATACTCTTCCCAGATGTCAGTCAGATGATGATTGACAACTATCATTGTCATACTGCTAGGGCTTAGTCTTATTTCCCCCAACCCCCTTACAACCACTGATATCTCCCAAGACTTCCACAGTATTTTGGGCCCATCAACAAACAAATGATACCTTATCCCAATTCTACCTCTAAAATCTGCTTAAGTTGATTTGACAACATATTCTCAAAAACTTTCCTCTAAAAAGGAAGAGTTAAAAGTTGTCTAATTCAGTTGAAAGCCTCTTTAGAAAACAGCTAATGCCATCTTTTTCAAGGTAGGTGGCATTGGGTCATCCTTTAGAGAAGCATTAATTACATCACAATTGCCTAAAAGGAAAGAGACAGCATTACTCTGGTCACCAAGTGGCAGTGCTCATACTGCAGAGTTCCTATCCACTTTGTTAGTTTTTTTTCTTTCTATCCACTCAAAAGAATCCCATGTAACAATGCAGGATACTGCCCCTCTTATCTTACATGATTCTAGTCAAATGATATTGGGAACTGTATTAATACAAGTAACTTTGCCAGCAGAGAAGCCTGCAAATATATTTAGTTGGTCTGCAGAAGAAGTACCCTGTTTGTCCTTTCCTAAGAGTGTCTGAGTTACTTTGAACAGGGCAGCTGGGTGAGAATCTGAAGACTAAATAAGAGTGAAGAAATATATTACTTTGACAGTTTGAACTTGGGCTCTGCAAATCCAAGGATCTCACAGTCAGAAACTAAGAGGCTTCAGAGGAGCAATCTTGTTCAATACTCTTATCCTCTCCTTTTTTCAGAGATTGACCAATGTGACATGGAGCAGCCTACCAGAAAATCCCCAAGTCCTTTCAGAAAATCCTCAGACTCCATCGAGTGTCTGGAATAAACCATCCCAATTGCTTCATCACCCTTACTGTCCTCAGCCTGACCAGAAAATGCTCTGACTATTGGCAAAAACGAGACATTGCAATAAATTCAGATTATATCAACCACATCAAGCATATAGCCACCAACATGATTTGGGGGTAGAATGGCTCAGAACAAGCTTCTGGTTGTCCTTGTTGTCCTGAATTTCATTGTCAACTCAAATTCATTGCTCAAAGTATTTATGTTGTAGTCCCTTAATACTAATCTCAGGGATTTGAACATCACTTGTTAAATGCTGTTGGGCAATGGCCCAGCTGGCATACCAACCCAACTTTACCTGTATAGCCCAGGTTTACATACAGGCACTCACACCCATTAAAGCTTCCAGTGACCCAGACTGCAAAACTACTACTGGTTCGGCCGAACTGGTAGGAACCCACCACTGAACTGTTAATATTGCTAATCACTGTTGAATCTGCCTAATGATCACAACTATCCCTTGTGGTTTCTCCAGAAACTTTAGAAACTGAAAAACTCAAAAGGACAAGCTGAAAATGACTAAAACAAGTATGGATCTGTGTGCTGCTAAATAGATGCAAACACTTGAATATGTGTGCTTTCTTCTTTAAATATCTGTAGCAGTAAAACTGGCTGCTAGTGAATGTTAAGCCAGGATAAATATTCATCTGATCAAGGAGTCTTTTTTTTTGTACCCTTAATATTTACTCTGATATCATAGCTCAGTGTCATAGAGCTGTGTGCAGTGCTAAAGGAAGCATGTGTGGTTGATGAAAGAGCACGTGTTGGCAACTTCTGAAAGCAGCTGCATCTCTTCTTGGATTTCACAACTGCCCTTACAAGCTGAAGCATGGTCCTGGGAAAAGATGTGTTTGGCTTTAAGGAATAGTGAATGAGTACTGTGTTTATGGCCATGCACACTCCAAAGCACCTTTCCTTTTCCAGAATTGAAATACTACACATATTTAAATATATTCACAAAAATGGTATATTTAAAAGAACATTTGTTCTCTTTCCCATTCCTATAAATGCTCTTTTTTTAAAAAAAAAGTAATTGTGACTGCCTTTTTTTCTTTAAAAAAAAAAGGAACCCTCTAATTTTTACATTTCCATTCTCAGTTTCTTAATGCACTGAAACTGGCTTCATACTATCTCTGACAGCAAACCAAGC